AAACGCAGGTTGTCCTCGGCTTATGATCAGAAGTAAAGGTTCCCCTCGCACATCTGTGCTAGTCGTTCCCAACTCTAGGGGGCGATGGTGTTCATCTCCGTTTCTAAGCCGAAGAGCCAGCGCTGTCCAAATACATCTCCGTGGTCATGTGGCTGGCATGACTCAACGCCAAAGGCGCACGGAGCGCTGTTCCCTTCCCACCAAAAGGTGGTTCCTGTTTTTCTACTTGAATTTTTTAACGTGCTTTCGAATTGCTAGGTTGGGAGAAGCTGGGACGAGTCACGTGTGACCCGACAAAAGCGCGAACGTCATAAGCGCGCCGACAACACTGTGGCGCTAAAACCGCGATGTCAAAAGCGCGCCGACAACAGCGCGCCGACAGAAGGGCGATTTAATTTAAGGTAAGATTTACAGTTAGGTTTAGGTTTAGGGTTAGGTTACAGCGCGCTTCTGTCGGTGCGCTTTTGTCGGCGTGCTTTAGGGCTAATTCGTCGCTCATTCATCGCGCGGTTTTGTCACTGCGCTTTAGACACCGCGGTTTAGCCAGACGCGCTTTTGTTGTGCGCGCATTTGTGGTGGAACCCAAGTCACGGGAGCTCCCTCGGTTACGCAGCACTAGGGATTTGAACCGCCGACCTTTCTGATCGACAAGCTCAGCGTCTTAGCCACTGAGCCACTGCGTCCCTTTACGACCAGAAGTCTGTTGCTAAGCAAGGCAGTTCCCATACCTGGACGTCCCTGAGGAGCTGGGGCAGGTGGAACTGCCACTCCTTCATGAAGTTGGACAGCTGGAGGAGGAACCCCACGGTGTGATCTGCTTCTTCCAGGCAGGCCAGGCTCTGCACCGTCCGAACGGCGTTTAAGCACTGCGGGTAGAAAACTCTTGAGCCCCACAGTTCCCCAGGGTCCTCCCGAGGGGAATGGGCTGGTGAAGGGAAGCCCACCTGAAGGATCCTCTCCTGATGGACACCCACAAAGTCCAAGGCGTCGGTCAGGAAGTTGTACCGGAGGGTCTTCAGCAGGCGCTCCATCAGCGATACGGAGAGGCGGTAGACACCGGGCCAGGATGGGCCGTCCAGAGACCGCCGAGAGGAAACGGGGACCTGCGCAGGCAACCATGGTCAAACCGCGAAGCAAGGAAACAAGCCTGGATTTGTCCAGGGACATTTGTGGGGGGGATCCCCTGCTCACCTGTCCCCCTCCATTGCTGCTCAGCTGGTAGACGCTCAGGAGGGGCAAGCAGATGCTGTGAAGGATGCCGGCTGTGGCCACGGCCGCTGCCCCCTAAGAGAGAGGGGGAAATCAGAAGAACTCAGGGGCTGGGGTACTTGCACCCCGTGTCAGGCAGGGACGAAGACCCGTGTGGCACCATGTGAATGTCATGGTTCTTGTAATGGATGCTGTTCTAACCGAGGCTTCCCCAGAGCCTGAAGGAAACTCCTGGTCCCGACAAAAACCCCTTTTATTAACTGACTGTGAATTCTGTTCATTCGCCTCCAGCAAAGTCTTTCAAGGGAGGATTTACAGTCACAGACCTTCTCTGGCTTGGAGAGCTGACAGGCATAAAATCTGCAGAACCTGGCAAGGAGCCTCAGAGAGTCACGAACCAATGAAGCAAACTCATTGTCTCCTGCAAACTCCACTCCCCCTTCGCTCCCCTTTTATTCCCTCTGGGAGGGGCCATTCATCA